ACAGCAACTTCAAGCGGCAAAAAGTTTTTTTAAGTTAGCAGTATTTCTGTAATTTCGAACTGTTTTCATGTATTACAATTCAGAGTCCCTCTTACATTACTACTGTATAAGGAGTATTTGACATATGAGTAAAGGTTAGCTCCGAAATGTTCCGTATGTCTAAACTGTGGGACTCCTGTAATTTAAATTAGAGTTAAAAACAGAGATATTAAAAAATTAGGTTACTGACCTAGGCAATTGGGCTACTAGAAACACAGTAATATTTCAGCAGTAATGCATAACTTGCGGTAATACGTTACAGAATTTTTTTAGAAATATGTTAAAATAAACGAAAGATCAAAAATAGCTGCGAAAAAAACATACGTCATCATTTTCTGAACCTCAGCTATTCAGTGTAACATTCACTTTCATTCCTTATTTCTCGGACTCATTTGAATGATACTGCTCGCAGCAAAATATATATTTTTCCTTTTAGTTTCTGGGGATCACAAGGAAATCAATTTTATTCTTATTATCGCGTTCGCAGAGACTTTACTTACTGCTCCCTCGTGTCCTTCACACGCTGGACATAATCCCACTTTGAGCCCTTTCTTCATTTTAGAGTTTCTTGTTCCTCAATGTTGAATGCCGCAGGAAAACCATAACTCTACAAAAAAATTACTTCCCTTCTTTTCCTTGCTTCAACCTTGAAAAAAAAAACTGTTTCATCTCTACACTCACGCGAACAGAGAGAGGTGCGAAAAAAGACAACTCGCCTCCTCCTACTCACAGTTTCCACGCTAAACACAACATGACAAAAAAATAACCAGAAATGAAGCAAAAACTAAACCAAATTCAGGTCCCAGTAAAAAAAGAAAACATCGCCAACAGTAACATTTATGAATAAAAACAATGATAACAACCACAGCAACAAAAATAATAACAGCGAGAGTTAGAATAACAGTAATGGCAAATGAAAACAAAACTAGTAGTGAAACTAACAACAACAGTAAGATTAGCATCAGTAGTAAAAGCAAGCACAGAAACATCAATAAGAATTAAAGTAACAGAAAGAATAAAATATAAGAGCAAAGTAGCAGCATTAGTAAAAGTAACAATAATAATACCAAAAGCACCAGCAGCAGTAAAAGCGACAAAAAAAATTACAATAAAAATAACAGAATAAGTTACAATTACATGAACAATAAAAATATCAATGACAAAAAGTAATAATAGTAAAGATAAAGATAAAGCGAAGGATAAGGGGAAGAATAACAATAACAGTGAGAATTAGAACAACATTGAGAAGGAAAATAACAGCTCAAGTACAATAACATGCATTAACAACAATGACAGTAACAACACGAGTAGGAATAAGAATCCCAATAATAGTTGCACTTAAAGCAACAATAACAGCAGGAACAACAGTAACAGTAAAAGTAGCGGTAACAATAGAAATGAAAAGAACAGCAACAATAACAGTAAGGAATCAGCATCAATGAGAATGAAAATAACAATAGGAACAGAAATAACAGCGAAATTTACAGTAACAAAGAAACTAACGATAGTAAAAATAGCAAAAATGAGAATAGCACTGGAAGCAATGGCAATAACAAAAAGGAGAGTATGATTAACAATAACAGTAACAGTCGTAGCAAAAATAATAGTAACAGTGAAAGTGACAGAGTACGGATAACAAAAACAAAAAGAATAACACCAACAACTAAAACAGCTAAAACAGTAAAAATAGTAATAACTTTAAAGATAAGAATAAAAACACGAATAGCGAAAAGAATAACAACGACGATGAAGATAGCGGCAACAATAACAATAAAAGCAACTGCAAGGATCCCATTAGCAACTAAAGAAACAATGATAGTGAAAATAACAATAACAATAGCAGAACCATCAGAAAAAAGGCAATATGAGTAAAGACAAAAATAAAAACAACAGTAACAGAAACAACAAGAATATTAACATGAGCAATAATAACAGTAACAATAACAGGAAAACCAGTAAAAACAGTAAAATAACAATGGCAGTAAAAATAACAATAGCAACAACAGAAGCAGTAGAAATAACGATTTGAATGACGATAACAATAACAATAATAGTAAAGATAACAACGACAACAAGAAAAATTATAATAGTGAAAGTAACAGTAAGAACAGCAATAAAAACAACAGTGGTAATAAAAAAAGAAATAAAAACAGGAATAACAGCAAGAGCAACAAAAAACGTTAGAAATAAAATAAGAGTAAAAAAATAGCAAAAGTGATCGTTACAACAAAAACCAAAAAGTGGGCAACACTAACAACAAGAACAGAAATAATAGTAACTGTAGAACTAACAGTGACAGCAAAGATAATGATAAGAGTCAAAATAACAATATCAATGATAATAACAGTATCGAGAACAATAATGATGAAGAAATAAGTAAGAGTAGCGAAAAGAAAATCGATAGCAGGAAAAATAACAGTGAAAGAAACACTAGCAGTAAATATAATAATAAAACTGAGAGTAAAAAAAGTAGTAACGGTAAAAAAACAGTAGAAGTGAGGCTCAGAAAAAGGTTAGAGTTATTTGAGTAATAGATATTATTAAGGTAGACGTCAAAATGTGGATGTACCTTATGGTGCAGTTGCAGGGAAGGTCGTAGTAAGAGCTTTTTCCAAATTAAACTCCGAATATTTTTTACTTTTTCAAAAATGGTTGAAATTGCTTACTACTATGTTTTAGTCCTTTTAATTTGTTTCGGAAGCAGTTGACACAGCTTTGAATTCGAGAGGCAGCCTGCGTTTGAATTCAATTTCAGTAGTCGTTCGTGGTGACCAAATTGGCATTATCTCCAAATTTTCGCAATTCCTTAAGCGGGAAAGCATATCAAAAGATTTTCTTTCTTGCGGAAAAAGCCTCCATAAAATAGGAGTACCCGAAACCGAGTAAGAGGTCAAACACCTACCAGTTACCACAAGGACAGTAAAAAACTTAAGGTTTCTAACTGATTTTGAATCCCCAGTTTCCTTTATTCGACCTTAAAGCAATGGTCTTATTCACATTTTACGATTGTTGACCAGCGCTGAACGATAATAAACGACTGCTCGCCGTCTTTCTGAGATGAAATCTAGAATTTTATTTCATGTGGTCCTTTCAGGGTCTAGCATTAATGCCACTACCCTCAGCGTTTGACTGTTTCTAAAAATCTCTCTTTCTTCGCTCACCAACTCTTTCAACATTCTGTAATTTAGAGCCAAATTTAGCCTTCTTTCCATTCGACAAATGCACTCCTAAAACGGGTTAAATAAGCTTCAGTTATACTTGAAAAAGGTGTACTTTCACTGATACCAAACTGAGCATGCTTATGAAGAGTGTTTTAAATGGCATCTCTGAAGAAGTTAACATCCAGTTAAAGCTTAAAAGAACTCTTATATTGAATCAAGTCAGTGCAACTTTTCCTTGACAGTAAAATGTGCAAAATGCTGCACGAGAATATTCGAGGTGCACTAATAATTCACTAATGGTCTCCCAACACTACCAATGGCGACTTCACAAATCTTTGTCTCTGTTCACTTTTTTAAACAAGATACTCTCAACAATCATTTGACAAAAATCTTTCACTATATACTTCATCGACTTTTAAAATGACAGGACAGTGAAAAGAAATGCATCGCAAAACAGATTTTAATCCGATTTTTTCCGCAACTTTTTCTAAAACACGAGTATTCAGAAAATAATCAAGATGTTTTAATCTACCGCAGTACCCTTCACACCAGCTATCAAATTTTCCCACGTTAAATAATTATAAGTCAGCAAAGCCAAAAAAATAGGCTTCATTATATGCCTTTGACGATTCGTAAGCTTCTGAATTTAGCCGAATCAAAATCTGGGTATGGTTGAAGTCTGGAAAACAGTTCCTCACTTGAAATGCTAAGCACTGCGTATTTTCTACTTCTAGTAAGCATTCATAACGAAAGGTAGGGCTGCCGTGATGTTGATAGCCGTAATAATGACAATAATGATAATGCTATGATGGTAGTAGTAGTAGTAGTAGTAGTAGTAGTAGTAGTAGTAGTAATAATAATAATAATAATCATAAAATCTCTAATAAACCAGCGAATATGACTGTAGAAGTAAATATAATTTATGAAATGAATAATGTAACAGTCGTACACAAAATAAGAAATTATCAAATAAGCAATTCTGCGCCAAAAATACTGATCAGAACTGAATCAATAAAGTGAGAGCAGTAAATACTCTAAAAAAATGTTTCTCTGAAACTAAACAAAATATTTCAGGAAATTTTAAAACTTCCTTGAAGTGACTGCACGTAAAACCATCCAGATAATTTTTTATTATTAAAATTATCATATCTCAAATTGAAACTTAAAAAAGTTAATGATTGTTTCGAGTGAAAGAAGCGAAAAGCAGAATCGTGAATCAATCTAGAGAAGTTCTTTACACTTCACTTTTATTCAGCCACATAGATAATATTAAAAAGAATATGAAAGGGAATAACATTCAGAACACCGCGTGCGGTTGAAATTTACAAACAAACAAAGAGGCAAATGTAATAGTGTATCCCTCTCAAACGCCCTAGTATTTTAATGCAAATAGAATAAAAATCAAGAAAATAAATAAAGAAATAAAAACTGATAAAAAAATTTGAAAAACACTTCAACATGATGTAGACAAAAGTTGCAAATTTGATTGAGAACAGATAAACTATACAACAATGAAAAAAGATGACTAGGATTAGTGCCTATAGTGTCTAATGGTCACCAGAAATGGACCTTTGTACAATACCCATTATTTTAAATGCATGCGCTGGACATAACAGCCTACATTTCACGCGGAGTAAAGAGAGAATCACAGGTTTTTAAACGGAACAAAGCAGAAACAAAAAAAAAAAAAAGAGTAATATAAACAATAGTGAAGATAAGTGTAGAAAACAGTAAGCTAAAAAAACATTCGGGACCTGGTGCCCGCCAAACCCGCATACGCCAAAAAATGATATGATATGACTAGGTAATTGGCTGCGCCCCCCAGTTATCGACCCGAGCCCTCTTTTCCGCTGGTGAATTGGGTTCCAATTTAACGTACGATTTCGGATGCAACGATTCCAACCACTGTTGTGTACCTAACTGAATTCTATCCCCTTGGCTCACATCTGTTTGACCATCAACTGCACTTTGTTGATGTGTAACCAGCTGGACACTGCTGGGGCGAGCTACTACGTCGATTTGGGTATTGCGACTGTTGGTACTAATAGACTCATAATTAACCGCTCTCTGTACAGCGCCGTGTTGT